AGGAAAATTAACAGTTATTGATGGTATATTAACAGCAGCGAAATACATCGATATTCTAAAAGAAAATTTGTTTCCATCAATTCAAAAATTTGGGCCAGATACAGGATACATATTCCAACACGACAACGATCCGAAACATACTGCAAAGATCGTTACAAAATTTATCGACGAAAACAATATATTGCTGCTTTCTTGGCCACCGCAGAGCCCTGATTTAAATCCGATTGAGCACTTATGGGACGAACTCGATCGAAAAATACCAAAATCGGACCGCTATACAAAACCAAAATTGATAGCCGCACTAAAAAAGGCATGAGATGAAATACAGCCCAAAACGTTAAAAAAATTAATACACAGTATGCCAAATCGTTTACTGGAAGTAATTAAAGCCAAAGGGTATCAAACTGCTTATTAAATATTTTTCTTACTGTTACTTATAGAATTATAATTTACTTTATAACCATTGTCAACTTACTTTCCGATAGACGTTCATTAGAAAATATTTGTTAATGCTATTGTTACTCAAATGAACATAATTAATAAGGTGACATTATTTACTTAAGACACGAATAAATTTATTTTTGTAAACATTTCGTATTTTATTTATTTTTATTGTATCCTTTTACGGCTATTTTATAAAAATGATAAGTGTCAACTTAAATACCGACGCGACTGTAGGTCCTGTGGATCGTCGGAGAGGCTATCTTATCCTGTAATTTACATATAAACAATTTTTTCGTATCATTAATAGTGTTGATGAGGTCAGGATACGAAATAATAAACTTAGACACAATTAACGAATAAGATAGGAATTTATATAAATGCAAATATGGCTGTACAGAAGTGTTCCGTTTGACATGTAACGACGTAATGCGACGATCGTTCGACGCAACGAAACATTCATGACGAGCTCGAACATTCTCAGCAGGCGATGACTGGACACCTATCCAGTGCCTGAAAAATAAGCTCGTCCTTTTTTCTAACAAATAATTATTGAAATATTGCGACTGTCACACTTTAGCGTGGACACCCTGTATGAAACATGTTAGAGTTAAAGGCAAGGTAGATATAAAGCGAGTTTGCTTCTGCCCAAAACCCATCGCTCAGATTAGCATTCAACAACATACATCTGGCCATCTGAATTAACGTTCGATTTTTTCTTTCGGCTACACCATTCTGCTCTGGTGTATGAGGTACTGTTAACCGTCTTTGTATCCCTTCACCTTTTAAAAACTCATCAAATTGCCTATTGCAATACTCACGGCCATTGTCAGTCTGAAGGCATTGAATTTTTCTTCCTGTTCTCCTTTCTGCATAATTCTTGAATTCCTTGAATTTCTGCAATACTTCATCCTTCCTCTTCAAAAAATATATTTCAGTCCATCTTGAGCAGTCATCAGTGAACAATAACATGCACCTATAACCTCTGAAAGATTCAGTCCTCATGGGTCCAGAGACATCCGAGTGTACTATCTGTAATAACCTTGTACTTCGCTGAGACTTCTTTGGAAAGGGTGTACTTGTTAATTTTCCTTGTATACATGTTTCACATACTGGCATCTGTGTCCCTCCTAGATTATTGATACCTATGGCATGTTCCTTCTTAACTAATTCTAATAGGTCCCTTATATTTAAATGACCCAATCTTTCATGCCACAATTTAAGTAAAGAATCTGTTTTGTTCCTAAAAACTATATTTTGAACTACATCTTTCGGTTCCTCTTTAACATAATACAAGTTACCAATACGACCAGCTTTCAGTTTTATTCTTCCATTTGGACCAACAACAAGTGCCTCATGACTTTTAAAAATTACAGTATTTCCTTTGTCAGTCATTCTTGAAACAGACATTAAATTTGATCTTAATTCAGGCACATATAACGCGTCTTCAAACTCGACTTCCTTTATTTCCTTATCTTTATAAGTCTTAATACAAACATTACCCTTCGCTTTTACTGTAGCGTATGCATTACTTGCCAAATTCAGCGTTTCATTATTCGTACTTTTAATTTGAACAAACTTGGATGAATCTTTACACAGATGTGCCGTACATCCACTATCCAGACACCAATATTGTTTCTCCGGATCTTCAGTAATGATGTACGTCTCATCTTTATTCTCATGACTTGCATAAAATAACTCTGGAGATTTACCTTCATTACAGTTGTAGCTGTATTTCTTCGAGTAACAATTGACTGCCTTATGTCCTATCTTTCCACATTTATAACAAGTTATCTTTGGTTTCCTTGCTGTACTTGCCTTATCATTGTCCCTTCCTCCTTTAAATCTCGATTGATTTCTTTGGTAATAGCTCTTGACTGTCATTGCACCATGTTCCTCGAGACTCTTTTGATTTCTTGTCTCAAATACGCGCCTCCATACACACACGCATCGGAGGGTGAGTTTGGAGTCAAAAGATACTGCGTGAGTGACGAAGCGCAGGGTCTTATCTCTCCATGCTGACGCACACACTATGAAGTGTAAATCCGACTGCGCATATGCCAACTGGTGGCGCGCTTTGGGTGGTGCTAATACCAGTTATTGAAATACAGTTTTCGTCATTGCGAAGAGTTTGAATAAATTTTTTTTAAAAATTTTTGAAATCTTTTCTTTTTACTAAAATGACGTTGAACTAACAAAAAGAAAATGTTCAACAATCGTTCAAAAGCCGCGAGAACAAAAGAAAGGGTTTTGACAGAGAAACATAACGTAAAACAGGTGATCCTTCAATTTTTTAGACCATATCGCATGTTTGACCATCGAGGACATACGGAAAAAAAAATCTGATCGGTCCGGCCTTTTGCACAGTGTTTGACGGGTAGTTTCACCTCACAAAAAACGTGGACACTTGAATGATTCCATGATTTTCCTTGAAGTGACATCATGTTTTCTAGCAAATGGTAAATATGCAATTTTTGGGATCATTTTAAAATGGATTTTATACGATGTAAAAAAAATCTCACTAAATTGACAACTAAAGGATTTGAAAGGATAATTTCTTTGCTTTCCAAAACACTCATGAAAAAGTTTCTACGATCATGCGTTCGCAAGTTCAAAGTGAAAAGTTCCTTTTTTGCTTTGATAGCAAATAACTCGGTCAATAAAAATTATACAAGAAAACCAAAAAAACGAAATTAAAGAGAAATGTTTGCGCTATAAGAGCCCTCCATTGGATTTATCTGAAAAAAATTCTTTTGGCCCGTGCATACGTCCAAATAAGGCAAATAATTCTGAAACTTCGTTTCCTGCGCTTCTTCTGGATAAAACAGTATCATAATCGATGAAGAAAAAAGATTGAGCCATTGTTTCAAAAACTAGAGACTTCAAGCGTTAAAATGCTTTTTTTAAATATTTTTTGCGACCATTTCTCGTGGATGTACAGCCATTTGAAAATGACCAAAATTTTCGGGAAATTATAGTGTTCCTTTAATTTTTTCCAGGAGTGTGTTAGAAATTTGTAAAAATGAGAACTTCACTCAGTGCCGGTTCTGGGGTAAGTGCCAAGAGGTCAAGCTTAGTCCTCTTACCAGAAGGCACCCTTGCCTTCCCCACTCCGTGGCCAGATCCTCAAGGAACAGAGTTCCTATTCTTTAAAGCAAGACAACGTCGGGTCGCTTGCCTTCTTCTAACATACCTACGTTTCCTTTCAATAAGCAATCCTATGACGCCCGATAGCTGCGTGACTTCGAGTCACCAGCCGTTGACAGGCATCTGGATTGCATCCCTGCAACCCTCCCTCTTGGGCCACACGCAGGCTAAGTCCCTATCATAAATCGTTCGGAAACGAAATATCGTCGAGCTAATGCCCTCGACGTCCCTTAAAAATAAGTCGTCGCTAACAAGTGTATTTTACTTTGCACTATTCAACACGTGGTTAACCTCACTTTTTGAACACGTGCGTGTGGCTGATTACCTTTTCGAACCTTTTTAACTTTACCACTTCATTCCTTTAAAAATTTTCTAGCCTGCTAGGCCCATAACCTGTTGATTTGGGGTGAGGGCAAGCAATGAAGGTAGCAGAGCGCGGTTATAGAACTATGGATACGTTTACTTAAGAATATATATGAACTACATATGTAATATCGCGTGTACTTAACATGCGATTACGCGGACGGGCCGACAGCGAACACACCAGCGCGCGCAGGCCACGAGGAACGGATGGAACGTGCCAGAAAGTTCTACAGGCGCGTGCGCACTTTGAATCGACCTTCCAACATAACCTGTTAGAGTTAAAGGCAAGGTAGATATAAAGCGAGTTTGCTTCTTACTATTAATAATATATTGTATGAGCTTCGATACACACGTTACATCACATGCAATAAAAACACCCGAAGGCAGAAGGGCGGGCGTCAACCATCCCTGTTCGATGACGCATATATCCGCTACGATGCGCGCGTTGCTAATACTCGTGCTAACAAAACATTTAAAAGATTTTTTATAAATTATGCCTTTGTATCGGAACAACTATGAAACAAGAGGTATAAACATTATTATCCATGGGCTGATTATAGTCAAAGTCTAACCGGACTTTGAAATGAGAACACAAAACTTAAATGTAGAGTTTCATTTAAATTCATTCAGCCATTTATACTCAATCGTATTAATAATTGTTAATGTAAATGAACACCCACGTTGTATATTAACAATATATATATTTGGATACAGAATAAACGATATGCATACAGATACAGTCTCGACACGTGTTCACTCCTCGTATTATTCCTTGTATCTCCCCGCTCTCGATCTCTCACATACACTGGTGGACAAAATGATAAGGCACCTCAAAATTTTTGGAAATGAACATCTATTTGTACATATACGTGGAATATGAATACACAACAAAATAAGGTACTAGTTTTGACATAATATATGAAAAAATTAAATAAATCGTTCAATCCATTTATTATTTATACCAAGAAAATGAAATTGAGTGTAGACAAAATTATAAGGCACTTTCAATATAAAATTACAAAAGTATTAAAATGAAATAAGATTACATAGTTTTTTTAAGTTTTAATAATGTGTCGACTGCCCTTGACGATGTACCACTTCAATCATTCTTCTTGGTAAACTTCTGTACAGATCCTTTATATAATTTTGATCCAAGCTTTCCCAAGCTTCTAAAATTGCAGATTTTAATTCGGACACTGTATTATACTGTTTTCCACCTTCATATAATGTTCGGCTGAGTTTTCCCCAAACATTCTCGATAATACTTAGGTCAGGAGATCTTGCGGGCCAATTTAAAACCTTTACATTTTCCGTTTCAAAATAATTTTTTACTATGCGAGCGGTATGCACAGCTGCATTATCTTGCTGAAATATATATTTTGTCCCAGCAATTCTGCGAGCGTAAGTGTCTATGTGTCTCTTAATTAAATTTAAGTAACCAGCACTATTCATACGGCCTTGAATGGATTCTATTTCCGTTTTTCCTCTATAGCCGATACCTGCCCATATCATTACTCCACCACCACCACATTGTCTGCGACTTAATACCCTTTGCTCCTTTCTTAAATCGTGGAAATAGTATTTATATCCATCTGGACCATCCAAATTCAGTTTTTTTTCATCCGTGAATATAATTCGTTTCCACTGGTTTTTCCATTGAATGTGCTCTATTGCAAAACTTAATCGGGCGGTCTTATGTTTGTCTGTTAACGGCGGCTTTATAGTAAATTTCTTCCGTTTTAAATAGCTTGTTTTTTGAATTACTCTTTTCACTGTTTTAGTCGATACGTTAACTCCACAATCCACTGCAATTTGTCGAGGCGTAAGTCCAGAATTCGATGCTTTTTTCAAAATTAATCTTTTTTCTCTTGAAGAAAGGGCTGCAGGTCTTCCCTTTGACTTCTGTTTCCCATATTTTTCGGGGTTTTGTAAAAAATTCTGTATAACTCACCGACTTCTTTTTAGTTTTTTTGCAATCTGTACTTGATTTTCTCCATTAGACTTTAACTGGAGTATTTTAATCTTCTCATCTTCGCTTAATGCTGTTCCTCGTCCCATAATTTAATTTTGGGTTAAAAAGTATTTAAACACTTATAAACTAACTATTAATAAGTAATTTCTACAAGATAAACTTGCAGAGAACTGCACACTTCAACGTTTTCTAACAGACTACTTCAAGTGCCTTAACATTTTGTCCACCTGAAATTTCGAAACAATGAAACTCAAAGACCACAATGCACCGTGTTTTGTTTGTCTAGACTGGTACGTGGCCTTGAAAGGAAGTTTCTCACTTATAACATAGTTTACTGCTAATAACTTTAAGATTTTACTAAATACATCTGGAATTTCTTATGTGTACAACGGTGCCTTATCATTTTGTCCACCAGTGTAGATGTCTCTCATTCACACTCTCGAGGTCGGCATGCGCACTCCGTCATAATGCATGTCTACATATCCAACAATAATATACATATGTACGCTCATACGTGGGAATAATAAAAAAAAATTTCTTTTTTTTTTAGTAATTAAAATATGATCAGGGGTTCTTAAAATGTGTACAGTAAGACCCCGCTTAACGCGGGGGATACGTTCCAATAGCTTCCAGCGCTAAACGAAACAGCGTTAAACGAGGCAACTTAACACGTACATATCTAAATATCTAATGGGGATCAGTGAAAAAGAACAGAGAATAAGAAAATTTATCAGTTCTTTTTTTGTTTTATATATTTTGTAACATTTGTTGTTAAATACTTTTTAATACATTGAGTAGAGACTTATTTATTACTAATATCGATTTTTATTCATAAATCATTCATGAAGATAAAAAAAAGTTCTTCTTCATTTGATATTCTTTGTTTTTTTGTGACAAAGTCATCTAAAATCGTCTGTCTTTTTCTGTTTCGTTCAACAAGCAGTTGTCGATAACAAGATACCGCAACAATGACACTTCGTCTTGCCTTTGAACTTCTATCAAAATTTAAATCATTTTGTACAAATTGATCCATAATTTCCGTTATAGTGGCTAAAGTTTTTTTTAGAAAATCCATTGAGAGTTTCCTTTGCTCCTCATCTTCAGAATCATAAGAATTTCATTGTATTCCAATTTAAGTTATCGTTATAGTCAATTTTTACTATTAAACCAAAAATTAAATACAATTATTAATAATTTCCACTGGATATATGAAAACTAAATATTTTTCCTTATTATTAAATAACTTTTTTCTATACCATAAGGCTATTTCATAAGAATTTCATTGTATTTGTTGGGATAGATAAATGTAGGAATACACGCGCAAAACCAAGTGAAATCTTTTCACGCTCGTCTCCATGTCCACCCCTCGTTCGCACTGGCAAAATTGTTAAACAACCCTGACTGGTTAACCCCACGCGTTGGGCCTTTCCAATCAGGGCCGTTTATTTTTTCCCAAATCACCGCCTATTTCTTACGCCCACGGCGTGCTTGTTTTCGAAACTGCGTGGTGATCGAGGGAGACGACGTCGCACCCTCACTGCAAGATTTCCTTCGGGCCACCCGCGCTGGGCCCTGTTGGTTCATGTTGAAATAACGTTCTTCACCCAGATTAAGTAAAAGACAAAACAAGATTTATTTAGCAGATAAAATACAGCAGTACAACACGTGGCGATACACAAGACGACAAGACAAAAGAAACGTGAAGTAAGTAAGTAAAAAAGGGGGAGGGGGGCTGAGCTCAACCATACCCGGAAAGCAATACAGGGCGCGTTTGCATGTTTGCATGCTCACACATGATATTTTTGTATTATGTCTATACAGTATTGTCTCTATAGAAGCGACGCTCTCGGGGCTCAACGCTCGGCTATATCGTGGACGAGAAACGATTCTTGATACTTTGTTGACGCCTACTGGAGGCGGCGAGTATAGAAAAGAACAGCGAGCATATGACAAAGAGGGACTGAGCGGCCGAGCATCGCCGAATTTGCTATCGCTTCCTTCGCTTCGGGTCGGCTGTAACGAAACACAGGCGATGTTTATGCGAGCCTATACGAAATCGGTGTTCTAATTCTGACTTCTACCTCTCTTGGTAGAGGTCGCAGAATGAAATACTGATTCTGTATAGGCTCGCGTAAACATCGCCTGTGTTTCGATACAGCCGACGTGGAGTCACTTGAGCGATGCATGCCTTTGATTTCTTATTGCGTTAGTAAATAGGACCTAAATTGTATATCGTATTTGGTGTCATTTTAATCAGAAAAGTGTCACGAATATGTTGATGAAGTTTGAAAAAAGGAAGAACAAAAATAAAGATGAATTTCGTTGTTGATTTAATATTGTATATGTACTAGTTAAATCGTGTCATAACTTCAGTACATATATGTATGTATCGATCGTTTACTGCAATAGTGATATAACCCGAAAAGATATACATAACTTGCGAATTTAAACTGTTTAACCAACTTATTTTACTCTGAGTTGTCTCACGATTTCGGCAAATAAATGATAGGTCAATTAAATTACAATTCCTTTTTTCAGATGAGGATACACTTTAAAGAAAGGTCAAATGTATATTATAATTTATGAAAAACAATAATAAAAATTATGTTGTACTTGATCTTAGTTAAATCAGAAAACTGTCACAGACATGTTAAAAGTTTCAAAACAAGAAAACGAAAAATAAAAAATTTGTATTATTGCACTAGTGTTGCCTTAGTAATTTGAGCCCGTATCGTATGACAATGTTCGACGACCGACTGTCAAACGCGCCGCTATCTTGGGGAACCGCCCATAGGAAGGCATACTCGCCGATACAGCGAGTGCTTAGTTCTAACGGTACGCAGTGGGGATAAGTAGAGGGGATATGATATTTGCCTATATCGTGGACGAGTTCCGAGCTTATATAGAGAAAATACTGTATTAGTTTAAAATAAAACATTTTAATTGAAATATGTTTAATATTATATTTATGTGACAAGTTTGTATACAATCACAAAGGGATGTTACGGGGAAATTTGTTAAAACATGGCAACCATAAATGTGGTTTATCCACACAACTATTACAGAACAATTTCTTGCCGATTGAGAATTTAAATTTTTAACGTTCTTTTCATAACAAATTTTACAGCGCCTTCTTATCGAATTAAAGTTGCCCTCCTTTTCTTCCAATAGGTCCAGTAGGTAGAGAATTATATTTATTATTACAAGATATCAGATTCATGGCTAATTTTTTTCGAAAATCGAGGCTTGTTATTTTTTGCTTTGTAAGACTGTTATATACAGGGTGTCCGGCAACCCCTGGGAAAAATTTTAACGGGAGATTCTAGAGGCCAAAATAACACGAAAATCAAGAATATCAATTTCTCGACTGAGGCTTCATTACAAAGTCATTAAAAAATTTTTAAATCATTCTGAAAAAATTATTTTTGCTTGCGGGGCTCAAATACAATCATTTTTGGTCATTGGACATATCCCCGAAATCGTACCCACTTTCGAGAAAAGAATTCGACAAAATTAAAAAATTACAAATCGTTCTAAAAAAATTCTTTTTGGTAGCTAGGGTCCATTTATAATCATTTTTGGTGAATAGACATACACCCGAAATCGTACCCACTTTCGTGAAAAAAATTCCTTACCGCAAATATAATTTCAGGCCAGAAATGTAATTCCATAATTTTTTGCTATCTTTAAAATGTCATAACTTCTGAACGGATTGGGCCATTTCAATGTTTCAAAAGGCAAACAACGCGTATTTAGATGAAGAATATGCAGAAATCGCAAAAATATTCGAAAAGTGGATCCTTGACCCCGCAAAATGAGAACAACCTCGTAAGAATGGTCAAATTTTCAAACGACCATAACTCCTACAATAGTGAATATATTTGAATGAAACTTGTTTCTAAAGTAGAGTTCATGGGTACCTACAAAAAAAAGTATTAGACAACTTTTCTGTAGGGCGTCAAACAAAATTACTAAAAATAAAATACGAATTTTTAAGAAAAATCGGCAGGAAGTAGGGGTGCCTCAATTCTCGGCGAAAAAAAATTTCAAATCATACCCCGAAATCCTACTCACTTTCGAGAAAAAAATTCGAGAAGATGTGAAATTTGTCGACAAAATTAAAAAATTTCAAATCGTTCTGAAAAAATTATTTTCGGTTGCGGGGGTAAATTACAATAATTTTGATGAATTGACCTACCCCCGAAATCTTACCCACTTTCTAGAAAAAAATTCAGTACGGGCGGAACTTTAAACGTTAATAACTTTTTAATTCTTGATTTTCGTCTTATTTTGGCCTCTAGAATCTGCCATTAACCCCTTGCTGTTGGGTTGGGAGTAAAACAACACAGGCCACATCTCCCAAACAACACCACTTATATTTATATACAATACTACATAATTGTGAGAGATATATAAGGGGGTTGAAGAATTGTGCTGGTAATTGCCGCTCTGCACTCAATCTCTCAACGTTTGATCCAATAAGTGTTCCGCTCTCGTAGTGGGACCAGAGCAGCCATTGATACAGGAGCCACTCGTCCTCACTCAATTCTTCTGGTCTGATACACCATTCCTTCGGTATGAGGCCAAGATCAAACTCGTTCTCCTTTATTTTGGAGATAAGACCAAATAAGTTTGCCGCTTTATCAACAAACCCCATGAGTGCAGCGGTGACAAGCCTATGCCAAGCTGGACGTACGCCATGCTCGTCTCAATTGCAAACACTATTAGTTTCAGCCACTAATTCGTCTGGCGATATATCCTCGAAAGGGCCTGAGACAGCTTTGATCGCTGGATGTAAACAAGACAACTTGACAAACAAAGTGTCAAGCAGGCCACCAGGCACCCTATATTCTAAAACATAATTTACGCTACCTACTCCTGAGCTTTTGCTGAGTAACAAAAAACTAAAGTTCAACATTCGTTTGGAGACGTGAACAAAATGTACTGCTACGTTATTATTATAGGATAATTCTATGCCTATCTTACAATCTCCTCTGCTAAGCTCTAAACTGCTATTCATAATAATGACATTTGCAGCAAAACATTGAACTATAGCCTTAAGGTCTTCGGCAGTAACACAAAAAAAACTCGAATGGAACATCTGATGTATACTTCCTACATATCGAAAGTCCTTGCTTATCATCGCGCACGAATTTTAAATACCTCATCGGCAACACGTTGCCATATCTATCAAACTTGCAGATCGGACGAGAATAATGCAATCTTTCTATCAGGCTCAATTCATTCTTTGAAATCCTGTCCAAAAACCAATCATTGACACTGTCCGGCTCAGGTCGAGACATCGCAAACCGCTCGTCCATAATAAGCTCATCAGTCTTCTTCTTACACCAAGAAGGTAGAACGTCTGATAGTTTTGACATCATCCCTTCTCCAATGGAACTACCAACGAAACTGGCGACATTACCGACCCAAGCTCGGGCATACTTCCACACAAACACTACGAAGCTCTTAACGTTATTCCACACATCTGTAATTGCATGTATCACCACAGGACTCTTAGCCCAGTAGACACAGCCGAACACTCCGGCTATGAAACAAGGGATACCAAGAGCCAAAGAGAAAAAATCTAATGAGTGCCGATTATATTCATCTGTCCTACTAACAATAAGCGTCACTAGGCCTTCAGATATCACTGCTAGGGCTATTGGCACGCCAGCATAGGCCTCAAAGGCATCTCTAAAACAATTACGACTTACTTCACCTCGTCTGACACAGTTTCCTATCCATGCCATGGCCACTGATATCATAGAGCTCGGATTAGACAATAGAGCACCACAACATAACACATTCATGGCAAACTTATCAAAGTTGCCAAAGAAATCCTCTACATAAGTGTTCGTGCCATCAGACGCCTTCACATTCTTCGTAGAAACTCCTGCCTGATACTTTGCAGCCCGCAAACCAGTCCTTATCGCCATAAGTCCAACAGCTATCACCACACACATTATTCCAGTGGTCAAATTTATTGTCATTGCCTCCATGGCCACAGTGAGTGCGCCACCAAGTGAACTCCATGGGAGGTCACCATCTTGCACTCGTACGAAAAGCATATACATCTGTTTTAACAACACTATTGCGTCGCCTGACACGCCAAATAATGTACTACGCCTACCAACGCCCAAAGATGTCAGTCAAAGATGCTAGTCCACTCGAAGGAGGCATTAACCCTTAACCTACAATGACGGGCAGAGCCCGCGTACTGTCATGCCGTAGGCCCCCATAGAAATAAGTACATATTACTCATAGCGATAAGGTTAGTCATAACCAATAGATGACGAACTTGTTGACTACTCTAAGGAGTCAAAACAAGTGCGTCATACGCCTAGGCTCAACCCGGCTGTGCCGACAGCTATAAAACCATACCGCTCCTGGCCCTCCGGGCTCATTTGGACGTTTCATCTTGTAAAGAGTGCATCAGTGTTCAGTCTCCGAATAAACCTTAGAGTATATCCTGATATCTTTGTCCGAGTGCTTGAACCTTTCCCAATCAAAAATCAACCTAATATTGTGACGCCGCAACTATTTGGACGAGTCTGCAGCTTACGGCATAACAGTACGATGGTCGGGCCAAACGTAAATATTACGGGCATAGCCCGCGTACGATGGTCGGGCCAAACGTAAATATTACGGGCATAGCCCGCGTACGGTGATCGGGCCAGAAGTGAATATTACGGGCATAGCCCGCGTACGATGGTCGGGCCAGAAGTGAATATTACGTGGAATATTTGATATGCAATTACAGCCTGATGCAATAATTGTTTATTACAAATTGTCTATTACAAAATGTTTATTTATACAAAAATCCAAAATACAAAATTAGTAATGTGTAACGGTATGATATAGTTCAAAGCATTCTGGTACATGTAACGGAACTTTACACTTTTTACACTCCCATGTTGTTTCCTTACGTTTTTTATTTTTGTGACAAACTGTACAACGTTTTGACGGTCTTGATTTAGAGGGTGTTGGATCAATGTGCTTTGGAAAATGAGCCCAGTCCTTCGCGTACAGTCTGTCTGGCGCATCTCCGACAGATGATACGCCTCGTTCTCTATAAATCGGTTTTGGCATATTCTTCAATAGAGATTCGGCTATATTGATCCTATAGTCGACATAGCATTGTTTCTTTCCATCATTCAGGTTTTTCCATAAAATGTAGGAGTTAAAAAGACCAATATCAAACAGATAAAAAAAAATTTTTTTGTATCCTTTCATGTATTTCCGCATTACTGGAAAACATGCCAATATTTGACCTTGGAGATCAATTCCGTTCATTCCGTGGTTGTACTCTGCAATACAACTCGGTTTTAGGGTGTGGTTGGATCCTTGTGAAATAATTTCGACTGTTTCATGTTTTGTCGACATCATATATACATCTCGCTTATCTTTCCATTTTATAGCGAGTATTCGGTTGCATCTTCTTATTACGTATTCCCCCCTTTTTAATTTTACACTGCACAAATCTTTTGGCATATTCTTCCTATTCGAACGTACTGTGCCAATTACATTTGTTTTATATTTATGTGATAACGTCATAAATAATTTTGGGGAAGAATACCAATTGTCCATGTATAAAGTGTGACCCCTGTGCAGCACTGACTCAGCAAGCTCTTTGACAACACATTCCGAAGCGCTGTCATCACAGTTTATTTTATCGTTGCCGGTATATATTTTAAATTGATAACAATAGCCTGACTCAGACTCACATAATTTATAAATTTTGACGCCACGGGCGATGCCCGTCATGTTTACGATTGGCCCGATCAGCGTGTTACACAAGTCGTGCGAATTACCCGAACGCTGCGCGAGCTTGTATACGATTTCGGCCCAACATCTTCGAATCTAAATCGTAGGTTAAAGGGTTAATTGAGCGGCTACGAGTAATTGATTCTTGATCAACATTCCTACACCAACACCTCCTGTTATTCCGAAAATCAAATCCCAAGCTCTGTCATTACTTTTGATCGGAGTCCCATAAACATCATAGTCGATTATGTTACCCGATAACAGGCCTTTAAATGTGAACCCAACTAATTGTACAACGCACGCTGCTATTGCCAAGGGCGCCGTCGTGAAATACACCAACATCCCATTAAAGATTGCTAGTAATACCGTCGCTATAGACCTCCCTAGTACCTTTTCTAAGCTGGTGAAGGTGGTGCCGACCCATGCCGCTCCCATCAAACTAATCAATGAGGGAAAAGCTCCTACATGGTATGAGAGTGGGACAAGAGCCCACTTACTCATCAAAAATTGTTTAGCAGTGACAAAGGCTGAGCTAATCATTGGCAAAGCCGCTGAATGTTCGGTTTCCCGCAACGGAAATCCTGTTGATTTAATCCATGCTTTGAAACCGTCTTTGCGCTTGACAGCCGCTGCAATAGCTCTGTCGGCGAATGTTCTAATCAAGCTCATTCCATTCCTGTCTAGTTGGCAATTGTCAACCAGATGTTTACAATAGCTAGCTGTAAACGTCTTCCTAAATGGGAACACTCTGGTCACGTGCCTACTAATATTCTTTAGCTAATTCTCAAAGCTAAGTTCGTCATTATAGTTTACCGCCTCTAAAAAACTTGATATCTACAAATCTACATCCAAAAGCACGTCTGTTCTCTCATCTTCTGTGTCCACTTTGTAACAATAATTATATAGTCCATCATACCACGCATTGTCACCGGCTCGGCCCATAGGTCTCAGCCTGTCATGCTGTGTCTGTGTTACTAGTACTAATTCATCGCTAATCACTGGAGTCAGGTAAAGATACAACAAGTCTCCGTTCGCATTTTTAACATGATCTAATTTCATAGAAAGACTCCCGCTTAACACTTTCTTCACCGCCCCCAAACGAATTTTGGGATTGTCTTTAATGTCTTCCATGCATTTTCTCCACCAAACACTAGCGTTTTATTCTCCCGGTAATAGCCACTTAAGACTCTGCATACACCGAACTAAATCCAAGTCGTGGTGCTCCATGATAACAGACCAGCCCAATCTTCTTTCTGCCTCCAATTGAAGCATCGCAACTACCGCTGTTCTTATGTCGATTGGATAATCTGTCACCGGCTGAACTCCCCTTGGTGTAATATACCAGCCCATGTTAGTTCTACCTGTTCTCCCTTTCCGCTGTTTCGATGTGGACAATCCGATACGCCGCCTAACGAAGTCGTGTTTGTAAACGAGGCCTCTGTCACCTTTAAGTAGGATAGTGCTAGGCTTCATTTCCTCGAGAAAGTCGACTACCGCTTTACACCCTGGTACTGTAACAGCCTGGCCAACTACGTCAGTGCAAAAGCACCAACAGTCACCAGTCATTTCGTTGACATTAAAGGTGGTACCAACCATGTATAGCTATATACTGTCGATTCTTTCCGTACCTACCAGAAGTGTAGTTTAACAAATTCTCACAATCGCGCCTCTATGCCAAGAAAAATATGATTCTACCTTTGCTTATTGGTTGCATAGGGATCAATATTCTCTTAGAATACCTTTCCAATTTAACTCCAATAGTATTGGATGCAATATAAAGCCATTCATCTTCGTTGAACTGAGAACCACCTGCTGGTCCATCTTAACATTCTCTCTGATCTCAAATCTCGTGGTCGAAATATCAAGGCCCTCTGCTAACTGCTGTGCTCTATTTCTCGTCAATACCGTTGCTGTGAAGTGCACACACTTATACCTCGCACCTCGTTTAGTAAACTGCAAATCGCCCGCGATCACTGTGGGGTCTGATCTGCAATGTATCTCGTCTAACAACACAAAATCTGCGTTCTCAACCTGTTGAATACGTCGTAAAGCTGATCCATATGATAAAATGGTCAATCGCCTGGTTCCATGTCCTATGACGTCGGTAAAATCTTCATGTTGTTGTCCGACTATAAATTCAATTGTATAATCTGCTTCACCACTTCCAGACATTTCTAGCAACTGGCAAATTCTATTAAAGGCAGATTTGACGGCTGCAACAGTAGGTTGGAGAAGATAAACACTAAAACCAGGTTTAACGCTCTTTAACAAATTGACCGTGAAGGACATTGTCTTGCTTGACCCGGTTGGCGCCTCCAGAAGGTAGTACAAATTGCCATTTGCTAACTCACATCCTAAGAGATCGGCTACTGCCGCTTTGAAGAAATTCTCCGGTACCACATCTACCGACACATCTGGCGCCAAGGTTGTTAAAGCACAATTCTCTCCTTCAGTTAATATAAATTTCGAGCTACATATTCTCCTGCACTCAACTTTACCAAGACCGTAAATTGAAACCACTTCTCCTCTTACGTTGAAGATGGGACAACCACTCATTCCCGAAACACCTTTCCAAGAACTGGCCTTAACAAAATTATATGTCGGATCCAACTCCACTGGTCGTAACTCATAAAATACAGCGTCCTGTCGATTACTAAAACTACTCCTAACGCTTTCAACTAACAAAAATTGACCAACGCCCCTCGATGGATAAACAACACACAAGATCTCTCCCCCTTATATACAGGATGTAAACGATAACTTTGGCAAAAATCATAGGGTAAGTAGAGGCCCCATAGGCAAGTATTTTGAGCATGGGAACCTGTGTCCGGAAATGCACCAGTAAAGAATTACGGCGATCTTTAACTTCGGTCTTTAGCACCTGATGGATAGAAAACCCATCGTACTGGAAACTGTTTCTTTTGAGGTGGGTCAGTCGTGTAGGTGACAAAGATGACAAACATTGAAAGTTTTGCGATGAACAACGTAAACATTTAATGAAATCATGGTCAAGAAACAATAAACTAAAAAAAGTCAACAATTGCTAGACATCTGTAAAAAAAAAAAGTAATTTTCTGAAACAACAGAAAGCGAATCAATTTCACAAAAGGTGCTCAAAGGGCTGCCCACCGACTTCAATGTACTTTTGGATGCGTGCTTGCCACGAACCCCGCATGCGCACGAAAACTCCCTCCTTCTGCCGAATGGTCTCAGCGGCCATTACCACTCGCGCGATGAGGTCCTGTTCGGAGGGAACCGACGTTTCGTACACCATTTTCTCCATTGTACTCCACAGGAAAGAATCCGGAGGTGTAAGATCTGGAGACCTTGGTGGCCATGCGACAGGCCCCCCACGCCCTATCCATCGATTGGGGAACTCTTGGTCCAGGTAGTTCCGCACTACGACCCCCCAGTGGACCGGACAGCCATCCTGCTGCCACCGCATATTCAGCCGTAACTGCAGAGGCAGGTCCTTGAGATACTCGGGTACCTGGTGCTGGAGAAATGCGAAGTAATTTTGAGCATTTAGCCTGGCAGGCAAAATGTAGGGTCCCAGGAGATGATCCTCGATGATGCCTGCCCATACATTCAGAAAAAACTTCTGTTGGTAGCCCCGCACGTGCTTGGCATGAGGGTTCTCCTCCGTCCAGTGATGTTTATTGTGCGCATTAAACATGCCTTCCCTGGAGAAGCCCTTTTCATCTGTTGAACAAACAGATGACAGAAAGTGGGGATTCTCTCCGATTCGGGCGTTGAGTCACTGACAGTAGTGGAGGCGCAGGGGGGTGGGGGATCACCAGGGGCCAGATCTTGCACCTTGGTCAACTTGGAGGGGTGCAGGTTGTGGTCGTGGAAGATGTTGAACACCGACTGATGGCTACAACCCACTTTAGCCTCCACGTGCTCCAGTACCTCCTTCTGAAGTCCATGGCGGGCCGGACCCTGTCGCCCCCTCTCTTGGCGCACCTGATCAACGATTCGACGTTAACGAAACAACAAAACAGAAATCGTTTTGGAATTTGACACTTCCTTTGAATGATCCAGTTTCACGTAGCGTGCGGTCCACATTCCTGAATACGGTACGGTGTGGCAAGTCGCGGCCAGGATAGCGCTGACGGTACAGACGTTGTGCCGCAAGTGCATTGCCACCTGCAGCCCCATACACCAGATGCACGTCTGTAAGCTCCGGAAAGGTAAGGCGGTTCATTTCTCATTGAACAAACGAGCTCAACTGTGTCGCACAAAAGGGCACTCTCCTCGCGGTAAACAAGCAGCCACAGACAGGCCAACGACGGGGAGGAGAATGAAAACAATAACAACATCGAAACGCGGGAATCTCAGAGTCAGTCCGAGTGCGATGGTTTGCCTACCCATCAGACGCGAAAGACCAAAATTAACGATCGCCGTAATTCTTTACTGGTGCTTTTCCGGACACGGATTCCCATGCTCAAAATACTTGCCTATGGGACCTCTACTAAAGGAAGTCTGCCTTTCCATAGTAGTAAACTTTCGTCAATAACTATGTGCTGTCTTGGTCGATATGCCATTTGGAAACGGTGTATTAAAATGTCAATCACTGGTTGTATTTTTTGTGTTTTTTGATTTTCATTATTATTCTAATCTGCACTGGCAAAATGTAGAAATCGCAGAATATTGAAAAACTTTTTTTTTGACATAATTCTTCTTATGAACACAAAATTATATATTGCATTTGTATTCCAGGACATAGATAGTTTCGGTAACCGAACTATACTCATATGTAGAATAATGGCAAAAAAACAATACAAATCTTGATTGGAAATATGAAAATAGGATCTCGAAAAACTTTGTTACCGTATATACTTGTTACTCTCCTCTACAATTAGATCTACAAGTTCTTTACAAAAGAAAAATTCAAAAATGGAAAGGGGAGAACTGTTTTCCGATATACCGGATGCGTGTAGAACACCATTATGTATGTCGGTATAACTAAAAACTTGTGGTTCAAAGTTTATTGTAGAACTGAGAATATTCCATTTTCTTTTAGTAATTAAATTTCTCCATTTTTCGGACAATGGGATGTTATCGCTACTTACGCTACTTTCGCTATCACTATCACTGTCACTGTCACTGTCACTTATGATACGATTTCTAACACGATTTCTCGGCATGATCATCTACTCCCGTGAACACTTAAACGAGAACTAACTGAAACGACATAGAAATAAGCGATGTCCTCAGACGGAGCAAAGACAAGCCCGCGTGTTTACACGTCCGTGGCACCGCGGAAGCGAAATTGCGTCGCGTGATAACGCGTCTGTGATCTGTACGAACAGTATCGGCGGCGCGTCATAACACGTATGTGACCTTATACGAACGGCATTGACGAAATAATTAAAATAATTAATTAGAATATCAATCTCTTTACAGATATTTGAAATTGTTCTTTCATTACCATCTATTTGAGTATTGGTTAATTTGTCAATCTGTTTCTGTTACTCCTTGTCAACTAATGGAATAAAAGACTCATTAGTGACGGTAAAATTACGACGAGCTCTCAGTTCACAATAGCCGGTAAAGTCATGTTCGAACTCGATATTCATGGGCTCGTTCATTAGGGGACTAGGCTTTGTGCTCAATTTAAGACTGTCGTGCACCCTCCTACCCGCTTCGGGCCTTTTTTTTTTTTTTTCGTGGGGAAATCCTCATGGACATCCCGAGGCCCCAAGTAGAGGGGGGCCTCGGGGTAGTGCCGGACTCCTACCGGCTAAAACCCCACGGTGACCGTTCTCCGGCGCTGCGGCGGGGAACCGGGAACTCTAGTGAGGCATCACAGAGTCCCCCGCCGCGCCTTGCCTTTCGAGGCTCATCCCGGGAGGAAGGACAACGTGTCCATTCCCCCCCTGATTTCTCCGCCGCGGACGCCAGGTCACCCGACGCCCGCGGCCCCGGGGCTGCCTTCGGTGCTAGGGCCCCTCGCACCAAGCACCTGCAGCCCCCAGGGGCGGGCCCGTCAACCCCCAGGCCACTGACATGGTGGTCGGAGAATGCAGACGGGCCGCCCCACTTCTGGAGGTCCGTGCAGACCTCAAGGCCGCTGGAGGGGGCCAGGAGGCGAAGGATGCCTCGCCCTGGCCCCCCTCCGAGCCCTGCCTCTCCGAGCGGGATGCGCGGCCTGCTCGCGCCCCCGCTCGGCAGCTTCCTTCTGTGACATCACTACCTCACAGAAGGAGTCCACCGCTTGCCAGGTTTTGTCGCTGGCCACCATCTTTCCCACTATGGTGGCCAGCGAGATATTCCTCCCAACTTTCAGTTCCAGGACACGGCGCTTATCTGCCCACGCTGGG